GAATTCGCGTTTTTTCTTTTGATTCTTTCAATTTTTCAATTGCATTACGCATTATTGCAATAATTTCTATCGTTACATTTGTATGTATTCAACGTTTGTTTGTTTTAGTGTCGTGAAATGAATTATATTACACATTTTCTCTATTCACACTGAATTTAAAGATTATAACGATTAAAAATCAAGTTGACCTGTGGTCATTTATCAAGAATAATCATAATAAAGCTGAAATTATTGTGTTAAATAATTTTTTTAATACGAATTAGGAATTTATTCAACGTTTGCTTGTTAGAATAGAACGATAAATTTAGTGTAAATATAGAAAACGTATAATATAATTTATTTCATGGTATTGTAACAAGCAAACGTTGAATAAATTCCTAATTCGTATTAAAAAAATTATTTAACACAATAATTTCAGCTTTATTATGATTATTCTTGATAAATGACCACAGGTCAACTTGATTTTTAATCGTTATAATCTTTAAATTCAGTGTGAATAGAGAAAATGTGTAATATAATTTATTTCATGGTATTGTAACAAGCAAACGTTGAATACATTTTTCATTCGTGTAAGAAGAATTATTTAACACGATAAATTTAGCTGTACTATGGTTATTTTTAATCTACGACCACAGGTCAACCTGATTTTTAATCCCTACGAAATTAATTTAACCACGAGTAAGTAACGAGAACGCTAAAACCTATGTTTCCATTGAAGAATATTGTAAAAACGTATAAATTGTTATATGCAATGTTATAACAAATTGTCGGAAGTATAAATTTTTAATAAAATTGTGAAAATTGATAAATTATACCGTGTTACGATATCGGAAATCTCCCGCGAAAATCTCCCGCGAAAATTTCCCGCCTGACCTAACCGACGATTTTGCTAATGACTTTGGGGAGAGGGTACCGCAGGTATATAAGGACCCGCCGATGTCCCGCGAAATCATTTACCCTTTATACTGGGCCCTAGACACTTCGCGGCGTATTTTGACCTGAAGGTTCTGAGATGTGAATAGAGTGGTCGGGGGCTACTAGCTAGTCTATGTCCACCCTGTACACACTCAGCCTTCTTGTAACACTTGTATACATTAGAATCAATTAGAATTTCTATTACTAATTATTAAACAAATTTTAACAATTACCGGCACTCGCTAGGCACGTAATATCAGACTTTAAATACTCGACTTCGAACTTCGGTTTAGTCATAATTCTATTAATGTTATAATAACGTATAATTTATTAATTTTCACAATTTTATTATTAATTTATACTTCCAAAAATTTGTTAAAACATTACATATTATTATTTATACATTTTTGCAAGTTTCTTTGACAAATAAGTACGTTTCAACGATCTTATTACTTTCTCGTTGTGAAATCAAGTTCGGAGGATTAAAAATCAGGTTGACCCTTGGTCGTAAATTTAAAATAGCCATAGTGAAGGTGAAATTATTATTTTAAATAAATGTTTCTATACGAATTAAGAATCTATTCAACGTTTGTTTGTTGCAATACCGTGAAATAAATTGTATTATATATTTTCTCAGTTTAGACTGAATTTAAAGTTCGTAAGGATTAGAAATCAGGTTGACCTGTGGTCGTAGATTAAAAATAGCCATAGTGAAGGTAAAATTATTACGTTAAATAATTGTTTTTATACGAATTAAATATTGATTCAACGTTTATTTGTTGCAATACCGTGAAATAAATTGTATTATATATTTTTTCTGTTTACACTAAATTTAAAGTTCTGTTTACATGTTATAACAATTAGAATGTAGACGTTTTGCCGTTTCACGGTTTTTCCTCTGTTAATTATGTGTTTATAAATCATTTCAAACTAAAGCAGCACCATGCCCACCCTTAATTAAACCGTCTCAGTAGTTTACCGTAATTAATAATCTGTTTTCGGAATTTATACGAGAATTTTTGAATTTTAGTAAATACTAGAGTCAGTGCATCGCGTATTGAAATAATAGCTTCATCTCTAGTTCAGTTTATTATTGAATATTTTTACGCGTTTAACTTATGCTTCTCCCCAATTCTCGTCGCGTATTTTATTCAAATTTTCTTATATTCTAGAATCGAGAAAGATATGAATTCGCGTTTTTTCTTTCGATTCTTTCAATTTTTCAATTGCATTACGCATTATTGCAATAATTTCTATCGTTACATTTAATTCTAATTGTTTAGCAGCTTATCTGCTGCTATCGACCCTACATTTTTTTTTTTTTTACGTGGAGGTAGGCTGACTTTATGTGATAAACAATTGGCAACCAAACGGTGGCTCGCTAAAGCGATATATTATGAAATTAAATTAACCACTTAATAAGTATTAACATTAGATTGTTTCCTCGATATGGCCATGGTGGTCATCAGTGACTGGAGTGCCTCAAATGTTTAGAATAATTAAAATAAAATAAATGTTGTCAACTAAAAATTTTGAACGTCATAGCTAGCTAGACATTATTTTCAATTGAAAAAAAAAAATTATAAAGCATAATACTATAATCCTATGCTTAAAATGTATTTTCTTGTGGCCGCCTGACAGCAACCTGTAAATCTGACGCGACAGTAAACGTGTTAATAAGTAAATGTTGTTCAAATTATATCGTGTTTGATATCATTTTCATGAGAAAAATCTCACCAACATGTTAAAAAAAAATTCC